AAAATGCAAATGTAACAGCATTTAACTTACATGCTAAATCACCAAAATTCCATAGTTCATATTTTGCAGTTCATACATGCACATATATTGTGTATTTAGTTCTTAACCAGAGCACTGGGCACACTGCATGAAACTAATTCCACTGTTTTTGTTTCACTTCTTCATACATGTGCATTCTATCAACATTGTCCAACTCCAGTTTACTGATGATTAAGGAGGATGAACAGGAACTGGTTGGCTTATCTTTTCTTTTACTTCGATGTCATCATTTTCAGCATAAGTTGTTAGCTAATACAGGAAAGTAACACAATAGGATGTGACTGGGTTCCTGGTCTTCGTGTTTCTCAGAACTCTGTTGCATTCTTTCTGCACTGGAAACAAGTTCTGGTTGGAAAGGAAAGTGTGGCCTCTTCGGTTTGTCATCACCACCACACCCCCACCCCACACCCCCATCTTACTCAGCTGTAGATACAACATACTGAACTTGTTCTCACTTTGAGTCTTGCTGAGCTCCCATGCATCATGGGTTCACTGGAGTTCTACGCTTATGGGGCATCACAAACTCTATATGCAAATGGAACGGCAAGAAATAGCAGCAGACACACACATTGCCCGAATCTCATCTGCTCACAGGAATGCTCCACTTTTCCATCTGACTACACTTGCAAAACATAAGTTCTAAAATAAAATTATTAAGAATTTTAATACAGTGAGGGACCCAGACATAGAGCTCTGGGCTACCATTACAGGTCACATGCCTAGGAAACCAGGCCTGATTGTCAGATACTGTTTGCAAACGTTTTATTTTAGGTTTGTATGTGAGAGTGTGATGTGTGTGTACCTCCCCCTTCTCCTCCCTTCCCCCACCTATTTACTTTTTCAGTATGATCAGTTAAAATAGATAACTTGAGTTTTTTAAATTTATTTTTCATTCTGCATGAAAAGCTGGTAATTTTTATTTGTACATTCCTTGCTTGTTTTGTGACAAACATGTACAATTCTACCTATTCTTGAGGAAAAAAAGATATGCTTCAAAGTGTATTTGCTGATGATAGACTGTTCACGATTATTTTGGAGATGCTACCTGAGTTTATTTGTGGTTACAGGTGAATTGGGACAGAACTGATGTAGACTTAATTCCTAATGGAAGTTGCATAATTGTCAACCAGACTAACAAGTAGGTACAAAGAAGTGAAATGTTTGTTTTCTTTATTGTCTATTTCACTTTGCTCTAAAAATTTATTGTAGCTATATAACTTTTCATTCCAAGTTAATTTTTAATAAGGTGGAGAGTTGCTGTGTGCTGGGTGCATGTATGTGTGGAGTGTATATTCTGGTAGGGAAGAAATGGCTTTCTCATGGAGGCCTTCCCTAATCCTCCTGTCTAGAACCAACCACCAACCTTTCTCTCTAGCCCCTTACCCTTCTTTACCTTTTCTTTTCATGTCACACTTTACCTACCTTTAGCCTTTATGTGCTTATTTCCTTGCCAGTGTTTCCCCCACTATGATGAGCTGCATGTTGGCAAGAACTCGGTCTTTCTTGCTCACCACTATACATCCATTACCTTGACTAGTCTACACTAATGTCTGGTCCATAGGAGGCACAGAGTATTTGTTAATATTATTAGTCTAGGGGCCCAGTGCATGAATTTGTGCACCTTGAAAGGAACTGTGGGCTGGGAAGCTACAGTGAGCACGGGGGTGGGTCTCGGCCCATCCTCTGCGCCCCTGCCCAGCCCATCCCACCGCAACCCCCGGTCCCCTGTCTGCCAGCAACCCTGCTTTCGCCATCACTGCTCCCACAGGCTGACGGCACGGAGCAATTGGGGCTGGCACCAGCAGAAGGTGTGAGCAGCGGCTGCTGCCCTGATTGCCCCTCAGGAGCAGGGGGAAGTGGAGAAAGCCTGAGGGGAGATCGGGGCCGGTAGCTGCTGCTCGCACCCACTGATGGCACCGGCACCAGGCACCAGCAGCGGGTGTGAGCAGGGCTAGTGCTGGCAGCGGGTGCGAGCGCCGGGCAGGACCACAGTGCGCAGGAGCAAAGCATTTTCAGTAACCACCAGAGGCTTGCCCCAATGACAGTGACTGGCGCCCCACCTTGGTCTGGCGCCCCTGCTCACCTGCTCCACCATCTCGTTGCAGCCAACACCTGCCATGTTCCGTGCTCTGCTGCCAATGCCCACCATGTTCCACGTGCGCCCCCTGGTGGTCAGTGCATGTCATAGTGACTGGTGGTTCTGTTGTTATGAATACTAGAGACCTGGTGCACGAAATTCGTGTACTTGGGGGTTCCCTCAGCCCGGCCTGTGCCCTCTTGCAGTCCAGGAGCCCTCAGGGCCCCTCCAACTGATAGGCCCGCTCCATCAGTTGGACATCCTTAGCGCTCCCACCACCGCTGCTGCGCTTGCCAGCCATGAGCCTGGCTCAGGACTTCTGGCTGAGCAGTACTGTGGGAGCACACTGACCACCAGGGGGCAGCTCCTGCATTGAGCGTCTGCCCACTGGTGGTCAGTGCGCGTCATAGCTACCGGTCGTTTGGCCATTTGGTTGATTTGCATATTAGCTTTTTATTATATAGGATAGATAGATGCCACTGTGGTATCTTCCCTTCCCAACACCTTATGGGACTTAAAGGAATACAGTGTGGGATTATAGAATGTTCCCTTGATAGTTGGTCCTAGTGAGCATTCTGCCCTAAGGCAAATATTTTTCTATAAATTTTAATCTTTATTTTAAAAAATCTTTGTATTGCAGTATAACATACAGAAAAGTGCACACATGATGAGAGCACAGATCAAGAAATAGAACATATCCAGCTCTATAGTATACTAGTGACCTGGTGCATGAAATTCGTACACATTAAAAGGGAATTAATTAGAGGAAATACCTTAATATTGCTATTTGCCCTTTCTCTATAATAGAAGTGTCAGAGATGAAAGAAAATTAGTAAAATGTATATGAAAATCTTCCTCCTGTCAAGAGTCCGGGGCATGCCGCAGGACCCAGAGTCAAGTCCCCGCCCACCTGTGTGCCCCTCGAAATCGCGCCAGACCCAAACCCAGCCGGCCCGAACCCCATTGGGCGAGATCCAGACCCAGCCGGTCCCACTCCTGTCAAGCCCCGTCGGGCGGGGGGCACAGCCTCAGAGCCCCCGTCAAGCCCTGTGGGTGGGGGGCGCAGTCTCAGGTCCCCCGTCAAGCCCTGCGGGTGGGGGGCGCAGTCTCAGGTCCCCCGTCAAGCCCTGCTGGGCCAGAGGCACGACCTCAGGTTGCCTGGCATCAGGTCAGGGGGTGCAACATCAGGTCCCCTGGCCCAGCACTGGGGCAGGGGGCATGGCCTGAGGTCCCCCCTCAAGCCCCACTGGGTGGGTGGAGCAGCCTCAGGTCCCTCGCCCCGGCCCAGCATCTCGCAGCCTCAGGTCCCTGGTGATCGCTCCTTACTGCTCATTATGGGAACCCTGCCTCCGCTGTGGGCGCAGCCATCTTGTGATGGCATGATGGAGTAAGGGTCAATTTGCATATTACCTCTTTATTATATAGGATTTTATGAATATAGCCCCGTTTACCCATAGTATTATTGATGGATATAATAAGGTTTTCTGCCTCTTAACAACTCCTTTTTGCTCAGCCCTTTAGCCTGACAGAATTGGCAAATGTGCCAGAGGGAGGGAAAAACTACAAGTAAAATGCTAGGCTCTCATCACTGAGCTTCCCTTCTCTCTGAGTCCAGAGGTCTCTCTAGTCTTGTCTCAGATGTGGAAGCCTGGAGCTACATGTTTTTTTATATTGCTTGCCTTTTTGTAGTTCTTATTGCAAGCATTTTCTACCAGGTACTCTGTTATAGCTAGAAGTGTAAATCCCTTCTTTATTTGTGTTAAGCTCAAATAATTACTCCTATGACAAACTCAGACATTATAGAAAAGTATAAAATTACCCCTATGACAAATTCAGACAATACTGAAAAGTATAAAATAAAATAGGAAATTTCCCCTATCTCCCAAGCCCATTTCCCAGACATGACTGTTAGCAGGTCAGGTTTAATTCTTCCAAACTTATTCTATTCTAATCAATGTCGATTCTCCTAACTCTGAAAAATCACATGACTTAACTGTATCTCAGTTTCCTCTTCACTAAACTGTTATAAAAATGTGCCTCAGAGTTTCTTGATTAAATTAGATAATATGTGAAATATGCCTATAACAGTCCAACCACTCAGTTGCTAAGTTGTCCAGCTCTTATCTTTAGCCGTCTCCTTCCCGCCCCTCCTCCCATTTTTCTTTGGAGTATTGCAGTAAGCTGAAATCATTTTTGTTTCATTAAAGGACAGACTATGTTTCTAAGTATGTCGATTACATCTTCAACATCTCTGTAAAGGCTGTTTATGAAGAATTTCAAAGAGGATTTTACAAAGTGTGTGACAAGGAGATTATTGATTTTTTCCATCCTGAAGAACTAAAGGATATGATTATTGGAAATACAGATTATGACTGGGAAACATTTGAAAAGGTATATCATAAATGCCAAGTAGCTTGAATTTAAATTTCTTTTCTATTTCCTGAATATATATGTATATATATATATTTTGCATTTTTCTCCAGAATGCACGTTATGGACAAGGATATGACAATTCACATCCCACCATAGTGATGTTTTGGAAGGCTTTACACAAGTTGACTTTGGAGGAGAAGAAGAAGTTCCTTGGTAAGTGTTAGATCAGGAAGACATTTATAATCTTCTGTTCTTTTTTTATGGAATAAGAACATTTTATTTGTCTTAGGCACCATTTGCAACTAGGAGTGGAAGAGCCACTCCTAGTCCATTTGAATGTCCTCTATGCCAAGTTGTCACAACATCAAAAAATAAATGTTAATAGAGGTATTTTTTCCTGTTTTCCACCCTACCTATTGCTTTAATGTTTTTTTCCTTCATCCGAGCTAAATAGTGAGCCTTCTTTCTATAGTTAGTTCCTGGCGCCCTCTCACTTCCAGGCTTTCTCTGAAACTCCTGCCCTGCCTTGAAACTTCACCCGCCTCCTTTGCCTCTCTAAACCTTTCCCTCCGTAAAGGCCCAGCTTAATTCCAAACATACAGAAGTCTTCCCCAGTCACCCCTGCCTGGTTCTCTCTTCCTGCTCTGAACCCCATAGCATTTACACCCCATAGCAGCCCTTATTTCTATGACACTCTCTTTGGCCGTCTTACACCCTTTTATTTCTTGTTTTTGTCTTTTTTTGCACAAGAATCTAATATTCCCACCAGTCATTGAGGGTAGTGACTGTGTGTCAGACTTAGTTATAATATGATCCCCAGTGCTGTCTAATGTAGGACTTTGCACATGGACCCTCAGTAAATGTTTAAAATAAAAGTATTTTCTTTCGATAACTGTTGGTGATTTGTGAAGCAGATCACTCAATTTCATTCTGCTTTTTAGTGTTTCTTACAGGAACTGACAGAATTCAAGTAAAAGGTTTAAAGAGCATGAAAATAACATTTTGCTGTCCTGAAAATATGGGTGAAAAAGATCCCATAAGAGCACTTACATGTTTTAGTCTCCTCTACCTCCCTAAGTATTCTACAATGGAAAGATTGGAAGAAGCGCTTCAAGTAGCCATCAACAGCAACAGAGGATTTGGCTGACCCTACCTCATTCTCTTTACTCCTTTTGGGGAACATTTTCAAAAATAAAATGAACTCAAAACTTTACTAACATAAAAGCCTTGATTTATTTTATAATCTGTTTTTGCATGTAAGATCTATTAGTTACTAGAGGCCTGGTGTATGAAAATTCATGCACTGGTGGGGGTGGAGGTCCCTCAGCCCAGCCTGCTCCCTCTTGCAGTCCAGGAGCCCTCAGGGATGTCCAGCTGACCTGTGGACCAGCTGGCGAGTGGCCAGCCCCGCCCCCCACCTTCCTCTGCAGGAGGCAACTGGCAGGCCGATTGGGAGACAGCACTGCTGACTAGAGGCTGGCCCCGCCCCCTGATTGCCCCTCTGCCGCCACCACCCCCATCTCTGTCCCCTCCATCTGCTCACTGGCACCCGCCTTGGCTGGCCTGGCACCCCCCACTCACCAGCACTGCCCCCCACCGACCAGTCATTCCACTGTTTGGTCAATTTGCATATTAGGCTTTTATTATATAGGATGATATAGATTAGGCATTAAACAAGGCAACCCCAAAACACAGTGCATTAAATAAGGTAGAAGTTTATTTTTCTCTCATAAACATCTGGGTACTTTGTCCAGGGCTGAAGTTGTGCTTCTCCCACTCAAACTGCTGTAATAAATCACAGACGATTTCCCTGTTGCAAATTTTGGTGGAAACTTGCCCCTTTCTATCTTGTATCTATTGCATTTGAAACTGTTGTCTAGTTTCTCCTCAAAACTGTCATGAACTGCTAGACTGTGGCTTTCTTTTTCTCGGCTTCTTTCCCGTGTCCTATACCTCTTTTCTCTTACACTCCCCTGACCTAAAATGATAATGCAGTCCTGTTTTCTCACTCTCCATAGACTGCTTATCCTCTTCATGGCTTCAGTTATTCTTCCCATGCTGACGCTACTCATCTGTCTCTCTGACCTACAGGAACTGATGATATATTCCAGGACCACAGCTGTTTTTCTATCTAGTCTGTGTCTACCTGCATGTCCCTTGGCTCCTTAATCTCAACATCTTTAAGGAGGAAATTACCGTTTTTCCTGTATTCCAGTTTGTGATACCACCAATATCTCCAGGTAGAAGCCTGCAGTCATCTTCCCTCCCTGTTCTTCACCCCCCACAATCAATTATCGGTCTTGTTCTAAGTCTCTCTAACCCCCGCCCCCCCATGCTGTAGTTCAGGCTCGCATCATCTGTCCCATCATGGCAACAGTCGCCTCCCAATTGGTCTTATATCTGCTCTGACACTCTACAATAGAACATTCTGTGAGGCTAGAAATCTCCCATATATGCACTGTGCAATACAGTAGATAAGGTTCGTTGATAGTAGTGGGAAAATCAGTTTAGAGCTGTTCTCTTCAGTATGTGGTTATTTAAAATTAACATAAAATTCAGTTCCTCAGTCACAGTAGCCATGTGAGTGCTTAACAACTACCTATGACTCGTAGCTACTGTACTGGGAAGCACATGTGAACACTTGATACCACAGGAGTCCACACATGCTAACCCTCTGTCATTTTGAAGTTTCTTTTTCTTTTTTCCTGGAAAGAAGAGCCATAATGTTTATCAACTGCACAAGTTAAAAAGTTGGTCAATAAAGCCCAGCTCCCAGATCCTCCCTGTGAGCTCCAGCCCTGCCTCCCACCATAGCCTAGCACACATAGCCTACTCCATTCTAGTTATCTAACTCGTTTTCCTGAATGGGCCAGGCTCCTGTGTTTTCACGCATGCTTTTTCTTCTGCCTGGAACCTGTTCTCATCCCACCTCTGTCTTTCATCTGCTGCCTTCAATTCCACCTCCCCCTCTGACTGAGTTATCTCTACTTGTTCCTTGGGATTCACTTCAGCTACCATTGCTATCTAGCAGATGCCATGAAAATGACTGAAGGATTGGAATATGGCCACTTAGCTCAGCATTTCGCAGGTGCTGCTGTCAGTGGTTCCATCGGTGAGCCAAAAGTGCCACCTGGTGGCACCTGCAGGAAGTAGCAATTCCAATAGCATCTAAAAGGGACAAAACTTGTAGAGGACAGGCCTTTCTCCCAACTACACATAGTAGTGAGACTACTGTTTCTTGGCTAATTTCACATTCTCTACCTCATCTAAAACTGCTACCAGGTCTGGAAGTAGGCATCATCCTTTTCACCTGACAGGTGCAGAGTCTGAAGTTCAGAGAGACTTCCTTAAAAGCCCATTTTGCAGGATTGGAAAAAAATGAAGAGGGAGAGTAGGTCATGACAAGTCCTTTATTGCTCCCTCAGAGTGGGAAATTGTCACTTAGAAAGCTGATAGGGCCCTAGCTGGTTTGGCTAAGTGGATAGAGTCAGCCTGCAGACTGAAGGGTCCTGGGTTCAATTCTAGTCAAGGGCACATGCCCGGGTTGCGGGATTGATCCGCGGTAGGGGGCATGCAGGAGGCAGCCAGTCAATGATTCTCATCATTAATGTTTCTGTCCCTCCCTCTCTGAAAGCAATTAAATTCTTAAAAGCAAATATTTTTTAAAAAGCTGATAGGGTCTTATTTATGAGGTAAATAAAGATGACCCCTGTCCGTGATGGCAAATAAGAACACTAAGGAAAATAATCTTGTTTAAAGACTGTAAGGAATCAAGAGGTCTATCATTTTGAAGCCAGTTAATTATTGGGGAAGAGTCACAATCAGTGTATTTCTCATGGTGGGTTTACAGTGCTACAGGTGGAGGTGGTGAGGTCGATGTGTGTGTGGCATGAGCTCTGTAATGGGCAGCTAGTGAAGAAGTCCCATTAATGGTTGGAAGCCAGGATGATTTGCTAGTGAGGAACGTGGAGGATTTTCAACAAAGGGTGTTGTATCTGAGGGTCAGAAGTCGCACATCATGGTGGACAAAATTTAGAAGCCTTAAGACCTACAGTCCACTTTCAGCTATGCCTCTAATCAGCATTTGACCTCCAGCAAGTAACTTGGAAATGCTGTGCTGTGCCTTAGACTGGACATTTAGGTAGTGCTTTTTTGGCAGGGGGAGGGGTTACAGCTTTATTGATATGTAATTCACATCACATGTAATTCAGCTAAATAAAGTTCACAACTCCGTGTATTTAGTATATTCACAGAATTATGCCATAATTGCCACAATTTTAGAACATTTCATCTCTCCAGAGAGACCCTGTACTCTTCACCCCAGCCCTATGCAACCTCCAATCTACTGTTTTCTGTAGATTTACCTATCACGCACATTTCATGTAAATGAAGTTAATATGTGATTTTTCTATAGCCGACTTAGCATGTTTTTAAGGCTCGTCCATGTTGTAGCATGCATCAATACATCATTGCTAGTTTTTGCCAAATATCTGTATTTGTGCACCGTTTTATCCATTCATCACATGGACATTTTGCTTGTTTTGGGCTCTTAAGAATAATGCTGCTGTGAACATTTGTGCACAAGTTTTCGTGTAGACACATTTTCAGTTTTCCTTGAGTATGTATATACCTAGGAGAGGAATTGCTAGGTCGTATCGTAGCTCTGTTTAACTTTTTTAGGTACTACCAACTGTTTTCCAAAGAAGCTGTAGCACTTTATATTCTCACCAGCAGTGTATGAGCCTGAGAAATTTTTAAAACTTCAGAACTATTAAGAGTGCCAGTGAAATAACAGAAACATTATAGTTCTTCCCCCCTTTTGTGCTGTTATCATGCATAGTTTATCTACATGTTACAGCCCAACAATACTTTGTGAGTTTCATTAATTTAATGTCTCAAACTGAGAAAAGGAGAACAAGTATATATTGGCATCATTTTTATATCAATCCTCTTACGTACCTTTTCTGGTTCTCCATTTGTTCCTGTGAATTCAAGTTAACCATCTGGTGTCATTTCCTTACTCCAGTACAGCTTTCCTCCCATCCATTTACTTTGTGCTGTTCATGGCAATATAATACAGACTCCAATTGTATACATACTGTTTTATATAGTTGCTCTACAGATAAGTTCAGAAAAGAGGAAATATGCATTTACACTTTTATAAAATCACTCATTTCCTTTACCTGCTGTGCTCCTCTGGAAAAGATACATAACCCTCAGGAGATGGAAGAGGGAGCCCTGCGGTTCTTGGCTGCACCCTCCTGGAGTGTCAATCACTCTGAGCTGAGAGGAGGCGGGAAGACGTGAGTGGTGGTTCAAACGCCACAAACTCTGCTATAGAGTTTTAGATTTTCTTGTTTCTCATTTGGCTGTATGCCCCTAAAACAATTTCCGGAGACTTCACATGGTTGTTTTAAATTTTGCCAGGTAGGTTGTTTCACTGGGGAACTGGTTTGCAGAGTTCCTGTGCTGCCATTCCAGTAGTCAGTATTGCTTGACTCTTTACAAAGTGCTTTCACAGGTAATTTAATTTGTTCCTCACAAATGTTTAAAAGAAGCACAAGGAATTCTAGTCCTAAAAATGAAGTTGAGATGTTAAGTAATTTGCCTAAAATTATAAGGCTTGTCAGAGCCATGTGTTTACTCTTTCAGGCTTATTGTCTAGACAGGAGAAAGAAAACAGCAATTACAGTGCAAAGGTAAGTGCTACAAGAGGTAAAATAGAAGCTGCTTTAGGGAAACAAAAAAAGGGCATTTTGAATCCAAGAATTTAGATTCCTGATTGTTTTCCTTATAAATAGGAAGGACGAGTTTGCCCAAAATAAACACTGTATAGCGATGAACAAGCTAGACTAAAGCCACATTGCCAGATGGTTTCAATTTCAGCCTAATTATTGCTGTTACCCTAGGGCAAAACCACTGCTTAGGGCAGTGGTTCTCAACCTTCCTAATGCCGCGACCCTTTAATACAGTTCCTCATGTTGTGGTGACCCCCAACCATAAAATTATTTTCATTGCTACTTCATAACTGTAATTTTGCTACTGTTATGAATCATAAATATCTGATATGCAGGATGTATTTTCATTGTTACAAATTGAACATAAAGCATGGTGATTAATCACAAAAACAATATGTAATTATGTTTTCCGATGGTTTTAGGTGACCCCTGTGAAAGGGTCGTTCGACCCCGAAGGGGTCGCGACCCACAGGTTGAGAACCTCTGCCCTAGGTAAATCACTTAATCTTTGTGCTTCAGTTCCCTCATCTGTAAAATGGTGCCAATATTACTTACTCTATCCCTTAGATTGTAAGATTAAAGATTATATGTAATTTGCTTAAAACTACCTAGTGTAGTTTACTGCTAAATGAATTCTATTAGTGAGAAGATGGAGTTAATACTGAATTTCCCCAGGGGTCTACTTGTCAATTTTCTCTAAAATGGTAAAATGCTGAACTTGTAAAAGCTGAAACAGACTTTGCAGGACACAGTGCTTGTTTTATCAACAAGAATGTTTCATTTACAGACCACAGGGAGATTTAGGGTAAATTAAAAAGAATAACTTCAGGAAATGATGGGAACCTCTGTAGTTTCCTAGGTTATTTGTAGATTGGTGTAAATTTTTAAAATGTGATTTGTTCTTAAGTATATACATTGAATTGATGTAATATAAAATACATATGCCATTTTAATTTTCTTTCCATAAGAATGTCTAACGCTTCTGTTAAAGTACTTTAAGATTCTAGTAAAAATAAATTAAGATTAGTATATTTAATTCTTAGGTTTCTTTATGGAAACTAGTAAAATTTTAACCTCTATCAGTCTTGTTGAAAGTTCTGGAAAATCAGGAACTATTATGTCAAATGCTCATGCCCTTACTCATGCTAAATTTGTCTCCTAAGTCAGGAAATGTGGCTCAAAACATGGCTCAGCTGAATAGGTCATAATCGGCTATTTGCAAGGCTTCTAACACCCCACTTCTACCCCTAAAAGTAAATACTTCCCTGGGAAACTATTCTATTTGGGTATTAGCTGCTGCTCTAAAAATAGCCTACACCTTTTTTTTTAATATATTTTATTGATTTTTTACAGAGAGGGAGAGGGATAGAGTTAGAAACATCGATGAGAGAGAAACATCCATCAGCTGCCTCCTGCACACTCCCCACTGGGGATGTGCCTGCAACCCAGGTACATGCCTTGACCGGAATAGAACCTGGGACCCTTGAGTCCTCAGGCTGAGGCTCTATCTACAGAGTCAAATCGGTTAGGGCTAAAAATCGCCTACACTTTAAAATGTAGAATATTTTTAGATGTTCCCTCCCTTAGAACCAAACTCTTATGACCAAAAACAAAACCGTGTAAATGTTTTACGGAAAAATGTCATTTTATTATTTACTAACGTAAGTATTTGATGCCAAAGAAATGAAGGTAATTTTACTGACTCAAAATTTTTGTAAGTCCATGAAGTTTCAATTTTATTATAGTTTTATATCACTCTAGTTCAAATGCATTTCTCTATAACTACTTCAACATAGCTCCTTTGGAGTTATTTCAGTTATCTGTAGAACATATGACTTTATCAAAGACTTTGAATCTTAAACAAACATAAAATTTCAAATTATTAATTTTTAGATGAAAGGGATAAGAAATAAAAGCCATTAGGTGATGGTTGGGATTGTTAATTTCCAATAAGACACCGTGTTGAAATGTTTCTTCTGACACAGTAGTTATAAATTAGAACCTTCAAAAAACAAGGGCAGAACCAAAGTATAACGAAAGAAGCTTCTGCAGTGTACGCCTCCCACAGCCCTCAGCCTCTGACAGAGCAAGGCACAGCATCTTCCCTGAAAATTAAGTGGGTTTCCAGTATTTTCATGCAGTTGAGCTAGACACTCAAGACTTATTAATGTATATCCCATCTTGGCTCTGGGTGCATTAATTATGCCTGAAGAGCTTAATACCCATCCAAGTCCACAGGTGGAAGAACACATACACTGGTATGGTGATGGGCAAGAGCAGGCTGTAAAAGCACAGGCTGGCGGTGCTGGTGCAGCCCTGCGGGAAGTCTTCTTCCACGGAGGCCGAGTAGAACAGTCCTGCTAAGGAGATCAAGGGAATGAGGACAGTCAATGTAGGAAGAGACAGAAACATTCTCCTCTTCCACTCACTACCTGCCACGCTGACTTTTTAAAAGGTCGATGGTGGTAAGAAAATCTGGCTGTATGTGTTGTTTTTAGTGATGATCTAGTGCTGCTCCGTATCTTCTTGCTTCTTATTTTGATGTGCCATCATCCTAGCTGCCTGTGGTATCATATTAGGGATCCCATCAATAATTGGATAGGCTATTCCCAATTCGTCATTAATCAATTCATTTGTTGATGCCTCATATCTGAGGGGGGAAAAGAAAAAATGAATTGTGAAAAACAAAATACTGGGAAGAGCTTGCAGTTCAATAAATAACACCATTTATCCAATTCTTGACACAGAGCTAATCCCAGAAAAGCAGAATTAAACTCTTTTTAATTCTAAAAGCAGTAATAGCCAACCGAATCATTTTAGAAAATTAATCTCTAATTGTTCCCTCTTTAGTCAGTTTCTCTCATATTTTCTTTTTCACTTTATTTTCAATGTATGCCTTAATTTTTTTTTTTTAAATACCAGTCAGAAAAGCGCTCCCCTTTCCATTCAACTATTCCTTCATCACTCTGGTCACCCCCAAAACCATCCCAGTTAATCTACTACTGAAAGGACACTAGAGGAAAATTCAACTTCCTCGTTTTTAGAACACATGAGAGCAAACTGACTGGCCCATTCAAAGGAAACCACTGAAAAATCAAACACACAAAATAAAAGTCTGAGAAAGATAAAAGGGCAGAAATTGAGAAAACTGGAAAACAGCCAATCCGCAGGGAGCTAGTCCCACAGTTGGCAAAAAGGTAGACCAAGTGGTAATTGGAATGTTTAAGAAAATCTGCTATGTTCACTATGGGGAAAAAACCTAGAAAGGAAAATGCAGAAAGAAAATTAAAATTCCTATCACTCTACCACCCGAACGTGGTACCGCGCACAACACGGTGGCGGTTAGCAGGTTCAATCGGCAACCCCGTGTGCGGAGCCCGGGCTGCAGAGCTGCGGGCCCCAGGACTCCGGGTTAGAGGCTGGGGAGCCTCCCAGACGCCACGCGGCCCCGAACTGAAAGCCAAAGGGCGGCAACGGCGCCGGCTCGCTTCAGCGCCAGGCGTCCTCTGGGCACAGGATTCCGCATCGTCTTGGCTTGGAAGCCGCAGGGCCTGGGCCTCGTCCTGGGCGTTAGAACCACTCCGGGTCCCGCCCCACACCTTCCGATTTCCTGATGTGGGGTGGAGCCCGGAGCATCGGCCTGCGGACTCAAGGGTCCCGGGTTCGATTCCGGTCAAGGGCATGGTCCTTGGTTGCGGGCACATCCCCAGGAGGGGGTGTGCGGGAGGCAGCTGATCGATGTTTCTAACTCTATGTAAAAAAAAAAATCCATAAAATGTATTTTAAGTAGATAAATACATAAATAAATAAAAAGTAAAAAGGTC